TCAACTTCCACAATTGCATCTAATAAGCCTGCTCTGATATTACCAATTACAAATGATGTATTGGTCAGTATTTTTGGTTTATGTTTTAAAGTAAGGCAATACAATTTGGGAATAGAATACTATAATCAGGTTATGACAAAATATCCGAATTTCTCACTTGACATTAACGCCTATAATAGTGTGATTACACTCTACAACCTCACTTACCAATACAAGAAGACACTTGAAGCTTACCATAGCCAATTTAAAAAAGGTGGTATGGTACAAAATACAACAACATTTGAATACTTGATGACAGCATGTCAAAGTCTTCGTGATTTGAGCACAGCAAAAGAAGTTCTTGAGAATGCAGTTGAGAATCAAGTAATGTTGAAAACATTTGGTTTAACAAGATTATTCAGACTGATATTGGAACAAGCCAGAACTACAGAAAATTATAATGATATTTGTTGGTTATTGGAAAAAATAGACAAGACAGTAGATATTGATTTCGATAAAGAGAAAAAAGGATTTATTTTGATTAAATATATGGATGACGCGATATTTTTACGTACTCTTTCATCAGCATATGAAATTGCATTGGAGGAAGTAAAAGATTTGTCAGAGGAAAAAAGAGTTCAATGGATAGAAGATAAAAAATATTTTGATCATAAGGCTGACAGATTGCTTGAGACCACATCCAAATATTCAAAACAAAATAGCATGCATGAAGATGATTTAAGAATGAGAAAAATATATCAGGGAAGATGGAAAACTCAAGATGATGAGAGTTGGTATAATCCCGATAGACATATAAAGAATCAATTTCCATTAGCTCCACCACATTTGAATCGTAGATATAATAACTATAGTCATTATAATAATTTCCCAAGTAATAATGATAAATTCTTTAACCAAACATCATCGCCGCAACCACCACCACCATTACCATCATCATCACCGCCACCACCATATAGAAGATTATATTATGGTGAGGGGTATTCTTTTTCACCAAGGCCTAATACGTCATCATATATGAGAAATAGACCACCAACGCGTTATAATCCAAATAAAAGTTTTGGACGTCCACCATCACCTGAATTGTCATTTGATTCATCACCATCAACTGGATCATATGGTAATTTTAGAGGCCAGCATAATAGAGGAAGGCCTGGTGGATATCGCGGAGTATCACGTAATTACAGAAATGTTGGTTATCGCGGGCCAAACTACAGCAATGGTTAATAAATTATGATACTTTTTATTTCCTTGTAATTGTTTTTTTAACCTTCCCATTCATAAATATTTTTTCCATAAATAAATAAAAAAATAAAATTAAATGCCTCTTTTTATCAAAACATTAAAATGATTTATTTTATTAAGTGTAAATTAAGATTTATATACAAATTATAAATTATAAATTGATATTAAATTATTGATTAAATATAATAATAAACTAACAAGGTTATAATAAGTTATTTCTTTTCATGGAAGAACCGCGTTCTAATAAAAGATCATCATGACTATGTTCGTACAAAGGCAGATTAACAACTTCACTATGATAATTATTATGATTATTATTTTCATTAATTGCCTCTTCAACTTTAGAAATGAATCTTGGATTATCCTCCATTTGATTTATCATATCATCCATAATATATGGTGTTAAAATACCGGGTGGAATTGGGGTTGATTTTGAAGAAGCTGACGCTTCTCTATTTTTATGACTATAAAAAGTTGGAGGTTTTGTAGAGATCCAATCCAATAAATTATTACTACTGCCATATTGCCTTAATGAGAATGGCTTATGGCTGTAGTTATTTATGTCTTCTTCCACTTCAAACATTTCCGATTTTTCTTTGGCAACTTCGCTAAAACTATTTCTTCTTTTTTCTCCACCATCTTCGTCATCTTTAAAAGGATTAGCAGATTTGGCTTTTTTAATTATTGGTATATATTTTTTCGATAATAAATTGTCACAATGATTGTTTAATGAAGTTTGTTTCCAACTTTTTTCCAATTCCCTTGAAACACTTTGTAAATCCATACCAGATGGTAGAATTGTGGTTTTAATTGGTAAATATTTCTTATAATCTTTATTTAGTAAATTAGTTGGGAATATTTCCAACAACACATCGAAGCATGTTAAATAATTAATTGCAAAATTTAAAGGTTTACAAGAAACCAGTTCATCTGATATTATACCATATAAATTAAATGTTATTGCATTATCATTATCAATGTTTTTATAATTTTGCAAGAATGTAGATTCTGGGGATATTGTAGTTTTTGTTGGAGAATTAACAAAAAAGTTATTATCTTTATTGTTGTCTGATGATGACAATACTGATGGTGTTGGTGAAGAAGATAAATTATCCGATTCATACTCAATGATGATATCTTTATTTTTTTCCATCCATTCTAAAATTTCGGTTCTTGTTCCATAAAATAAAAATTTCGGATTTTGTTGAGTTAAAACAATTTTTTTCAAATTAGGTGGTGACACTATTGTTGAAGTTCCATCATCCAACGAATATCCATATTTAAATTTTTTATTTACAAAATGCATTTTCTTTTTGTGTATTAATATGTTGTAAAAAAATTATTAAATTTAAACTAAAAAGTTCAAGGAAAAAGGCTTACTTTTATACTTTTAAAACAATACTAATACATACATACTTATTATACATAGAGAGCACATGTCACGTTGCACGGAGTTCGCGTGACTAAAAAATTTGTGCAGAAAACAAAAACCCGTTATTAAAAAAAAAAAGAGCAACCATGAATCAAAAAATCTTTTTTCTTATGATATGTGCTCTCGTCATTTTCATTACCCCCCCATAATGGCATAATGGCGATATTTTATAATAATTACTTAAAATAGAATAATATTATTGTTTATATGGAATACTATAATTTAGCAGTTAAAATGAATAATTTTTTTTATTGACAAATATAGCAATCATTACATAATATATTCAGCCAAAATATTTGTTCTAGTAAATTATTTTTATTTTGTTTAGTAAGCCTTTTCAAGTTGTTCTCGAATAGTCTCGGCGAATTCACGAGAAGCATCACGAGCTTTGTCAAGCGGTAATGCGGCAGTTCCGGCTAAAAAAAGAATTAATTACGTCATAATAATTAAAAATATATTGAAAATTATTGAAATATAATGATTAAAAAAATATTAAACATAAAAAATGAATATAATTTTACCGATAGTTTCAGCTGGAGGTTTGTCAGGAGCACTAGGATGAGGATGAGTTGGAGAAGTTAAACGAGTATTAGCGAATGATTTGCCCAAGCTGTTCAATTCATCATGATTAATAGCTGATTGGAATTTTGGGAGGATGGTATCCTCTTCTTCCTTAATATGTTCAAACAGTTCCTAATTATTTAAAAAAAGTCGAAAAAAAAATAAAGATTAATATTTCTCGCGCGTTTATTCTTTTAATCCCCTCACTTGCATTTCATGACTGGCTAGCTAACTCACTTTCATGACTTTTCCGATAAGACTGGGGTAACCGGCATCGCTGGTTTTCATTTTATCCAATTCATACAAATCTTTTTTTACTTGTGCGTGTTCTTCTCGTGAATGGTCGGCCAATTGACTTCCGTCCTTCAAATATTTCTCAAAAGTAGGATACAACACGATCTCTTCACAAGTAGAATGAACTGCAACTGTAAAAAATTATTATTTTCATAAATAAAAGATTTATTATCAGTTTTTCGTGTAATAAAATGCAAAAATCTAAATAATTTGGGATTTCCTTCTTCAACAGAATTCGATTAAATAACACACATACTTTCACGAATAATCGAGTTTGCTATTTTTTGTTTTTCACTTTCTACTGCTGTTGTTTGAAATCGCTCCCAAAGATCTGTAATTACTTTATGATCTATCTTTATCTCGCTGATAACGTCTCTTGATTTAGTCATTGTAAATGATCTTATAAGAGGGATAGTTAAAGGAGTTCTGTTAATGCAACGAATAAACAGGTTGAAAAGTTATATTTTGAAAATATTTTAATTATTTAATCGCAAAGAAGTTATATTTTTTTTTATTTTTTCGACGAGGGAAAAAAATTATGGATTTATTTATCTATAATGTGAGAAATTTTATAGGGAAATTACTTAATTATTTTTATACTTTTACAAACATTTACATCATATTTCTGTAATATTTTTAAGAACGAAGATCAAAATATTAAACAAAAATTAATATATCCATATACTATCAAAAAGTCTGGAACCTAAAAAATAATTAAATTTACCCTGGATGCTTTAGGGTCCTTTATTTATCACATGAAATAAAAAATTATTTATTATTATCAATTTTATTAAATTTTATTCACTGGAAAAACATAAACCAATATTAATATTTAAATAATTTAAAAAAATAATTTAAATTTTGTATTATAATATATATATATATATGTGTGTGTGTGTGTGTGTGTGTGTGTAGTATCAATTATTCTATGTATAATAAAAATAAGTAAATGTCTAGTTTGTGTCCTGTCCTTTCCAAGATTAATTCTTTCGACAATATCGTTCACTGAAGCTACAATTGCCCCTTTTTTGTTTGTATCATAATACATGCATGAGATGTAGTTGTAAATAAAATATATAAATAATAAATTATATCTGGTTAGTTGATCAGACAAGTCCAGTCTTTTCAAGATTAATTCTTTGGACAATATCATTCACTGAAGCTACAATTACTCTCATTTGTTTTGTGTCCTAAATACATACATGAAATGTATTTGTAAATAAATATATAAATGATAAACAATAAAATAATTGATTAGAAACAACACATGAATATATATGAATATGACTTACTGTAGCATGTGTGAAATGAATATAAATATGCTTTTTATCATTTTCGTTACAGCTCAAAAATTTTTTTTGGAAGTATTTACCAACACTGCCAAATTTATTATCGCCTGAATAATAAAAATATTATAAACCATTAGTACGTTTATTAATAAAAAAAATTTTTTTAACGCTACTAAAAATATTCAATTACCCTCGTAATCAGGAAAATAATTTTTGACTGGTGTTAATGTAAGTTTGTGTGTCAAGATATCAATTTTATTCAGAAACAAAATTATTCCAGTCTTTTTAAATAATTTATGATTACATATTCTCTCAAATAGATCAATCGAATCTTGCATACGATTAGTCTTATCATCCTCTTCTAATGTCTGATTACTGTAGCATGTGTGAAATGAATATAAATATGCTTTTTATCATTTTCGTTACAGCTCAAAAATTTTTTTTGGAAGTATTTACCAACACTGCCAAATTTATTATCGCCTGAATAATAAAAATATTATAAACCATTAGTACGTTTATTAATAAAAAAAATTTTTTTAACGCTACTAAAAATATTCAATTACCCTCGTAATCAGGAAAATAATTTTTGACTGGTGTTAATGTAAGTTTGTGTGTCAAGATATCAATTTTATTCAGAAACAAAATTATTCCAGTCTTTTTAAATAATTTATGATTACATATTCTCTCAAATAGATCAATCGAATCTTGCATACGATTAGTCTTATCATCCTCTTCTAATGTCTGATCATATGCCGATATTGCAGCCATAAAGATTATTGCATCCACATCATCAAAATATGGTGCCCAGAATTGTCGTTGAGATCGATGCCCACCAACATCAAAAATCCTGAATATTATATCATTTACATCAAATGTATGTTCTGTTACTCCGATTGTTCTAATTCTTGCTTGTAATATGTCTGAATCTGATGGTGAATAATTTTCATCGACAAATCTATCGATATTATCAAGGAAGCTACAAGAATGGATGAAACGTGGTGGCGAGGTGAGATTAATGTGTGGATAGATGCGTGGATAACGAGATGAGACATGAATAGTGAGAAGAGATGAGAGAAATCCCCCCTCTAAAAAAAATTCACCAAAAATTACACTTACTATTGTGCAGAGTCTTGTAAACCAATTTTTCCAGCGTATTTATAACAGAGCTTAATTGCAGGATCTGTCCATAATGCTTTAACGGATTCAGCATATTCGTTAAACACATCCAAAGCGCTATCATCCAGCTTCTGATCTTTGATAGCAGCCTGAACACTAATAGAATCACGATTCAATGTTTCTTTTATCGATGTCAATTTAATAAATTTTTCAAGATGTGGTTCATTCTCTGGTTTCAAGGTGTGACTATAGAACTGAAGTGCATTTGTCAATGATTTCATTGCAGTAAGTACATTCAAATGAACTATCCTACGATATCGTTGACGTTCCTCTTCTAAACCATGTCCATGAATGATTTTTAATTGTTTCAAAACTGTTGTTTTGCCACTTTCAGAGGAACCTTTTATAATAATAGAAGATTTTAAGTGAGATATTAAATAAATATATAAATGGATATATATATATTTATATACATGTGTTTTACCTAGTAGTAATAATTTCGCACTTTTGGATCTTAATAATAATGCTTTTTCTCTTTCAGCTTTTAATTCTTTATCGATGGCTTCACTACGTTTTTTAGCAGCTTTTTCAGCTAATATTCTCTTCTTTTTATCCTCGGAATTTTCATTCCTTGGATTGTATGTTTTTATATGGTTACCACTCATTTCGTTGTTAATGTTCATTGAGCGTGTTGAAGATGCCATGTCTTTTCTTGTAAAAAGAAAAAAATCGAACTAAAAAAAAATATCGGAAAAATAGTATATATGTTTAACTAGTATATAATAAATAGTAAAAAATAAAAAAAAAATTTTTAGAGAGGAAGAAAAATCATTTATTTAAATAATGATGATAATTAATTAGTAATAATAATATATATTCATATCAAATATACAAATTTGGATATATACACAATAATATAATAATACATTATTTTATTTGTTCAATATAAACAACAATTTATTTATTATTATGAAGATCTTTTTAAGAAAATCAAGAAATAAAAATTATCGTTATTCTCGTTATTATTCTGATTACTCTCATCTTCTTGATACACTCCCTTAAAGTATTATAGAAGAGAGATAGACTAATAAACAATACTAATGACTTCCCCCAAG